CCAGGGCCCCTCTATGGAACGCCGTTTCCGCCAAAAAGGAAACTGGAAGCGCTGCTGGGTATTTCCCTGCCAACGTTAGAGGGGTTCCACTGAATTAGTGTCTTGACAAATTCCAGAGCTGGGTTCGTGGAAGAGTTCTACCGCTCCATCTTCTTTGATGCACTGGGTACAATTACTCAATGCATATCTACCTGCTTTGATTAGCCTGGTTTCCAGACCTACAGCAAACTGGAAGCAGTTCTACTCAAGGGCTCTGCAGGAGCTTGTTATGATGGTGAATTAGCTGTTGTCATAGGGTCTTGAAGAGCAGCTTCGAAGAGCAGCTTCTACGATCACAGCTCTTGCTCTTGAAATCTCATTTCTGGAACAACAGCCTCCAGGCTTGATAGATGTGGCAAACTTTGTGAAGGCAAACCAGCAGTTGCTCTTGGAAGTAGTAAAACTTTTGATTGTAATTCTTGTAGCCCCAGCAACTAATGCTTCCAGTGAGAGATGTTTTTCTGCTCTCCGTATTGTCAAGACGTATATACCTTCGGTCCACAATGGGTCATTGCTTATCACATAAGGAAGAATGTGATAACCTTTGCCTTGAACAATGTGCAAATGACTTCTGCTTTCATTCAGAGCACAGAAGAAACATTTTCGGCTCTTTTTGCAGTTAGGTATTATTTTTGTGAAAAGGGGCGTGCGCATGCACAGGTCAGTCGGCTACACCACATGTAGTGTCCTGGGTGTCGTTGATTTGTTGCTTTTCACTTGTTTTGCCTTCATACTTCACTTATGATTCATGTATACTGCTGCCTTCGTGACCTTGCTGTACCAAGCCTTGATCCTGGATCACTTCCCTTCCCTAGCCATGTATGCACACACGCCCAACTTTTTGAGACAAACAGGAGGGATGAGGAAGTTCAACTTCCCACAAGTGATTGAAAAGCACTAAAGTGCAACCCTCGGCGAACTGTGCATGCGCAGTACTGCTAATTGATGGGCTGGCCTATTGCGTTTACTCGTGGTTTCCAGCTAGCAGCTCGTGGAGAGTCTGACAGGGGCTAGCAACAGTAGTAAATAGCATGCGGGAGTCGATACACGGCCTTCGTTTTGACTTGTTGTGCCTTTAAGATGCACAGAGCAAGCGGGCCAGGTCGAGGTAAGCATATAACCGCATGCGCATTTTTTCGCAGCGATAAAATGGCGACTACTGGCATTAGCCGTACAATGGTGGAATCGCTCTAGCTCTGGAACGGAGCATTTTCATTAGACATTTCTGACCTTCATTGCCCGTTAAGTAGGTCTAATCCTCACACACACACACACAGACAAACCCAACTACAGTACCATCGCTGCGCATGCGCGCCGAGGGTAATAATACGCAACAGGAGAGTGTGGAATAGTTGTGCTTAGTGCCGTCTTCTTTAGTCGCACTTATGTTGTCCCGATTACCGCGGCCACATTATGGCGGTGTGGGTGGCGAATAAATACGGTCAGATAGCATGTAATGCGAGATGAATGACGTCTGAGTCAGTCCGTTACGTCAGAGATGATGCTAACGTCCGTACTACGTCACGATCGTCTTGAAGTTAGTTTATCCGCTGGGCACGTGACGTTCGCGCGCATTGATAGTGATGTCGTCGCGGAGACACCTTGGAGTATAGGCTTGTTCGCTCGACAATTATTATTATTATTATTATGCATAGGGGAGCCACCTTCATGGGGAAGAAGAAAATTGACTTTTTACGCCACATGCTCTCTGGCATCTCTGTGAGAATGAACACGTCAAGCATCACGTCCACTTTATGCAGCTTTTAGGCATCAAATAGCATGGTGTCCTAGATCATTGGCCACTATAAGTGTAGACGAATGATTAATCTTAGTACACTAAAAAAGCTCCCCGTGCAGCAAAGTACACAGGCACAAACACAACAGATGCCAGAGACAAAACAATCCATTCACGACAAACTTTGCAATACACCTTTGCAATCATGAGTGATAAGGACACAGACACACGCAACATGCATTCATAGTGCGGCAGTTCTCAAATTCTTCACTCTAAAATACACTTTCTATTTCTGTATTACAAACTTTTCGTCTGCTTCTACATCGAATATTTCATCAATGGTGGTTCCCTTAGGCAAAAAGAATGTGAAATTCTTGAACAGACAGAGGTTCTTATTAACAGCCACCAGTGCCTCAACCTCATCCGCGCTGAGAGACACTTTTGTTGCCTCAAAGTTGTCCTGGATCCTGTGAGGGGTCACTGACTTTGGAATCACCACAAACCCTCGATGGAGGAGGAACGAGATGCGAGTCGGATTAAGGTAAATCGCACTTCTGTCTTGTTCTTCGATACCGCGGCCATGGATTAATTATGGCGTTTTGTGTGTGTGGCGAATAATACGGCCAGATGGCATGTGATGCGAGATGAATGACGTCCGCGCGCTGAGTCCGTTACGTCAGAGATGATACTAACGTCCGTACTACGTCACGTGCACAGCGGATAAACTTCAAAGACGATCGTCTTTCCGCTGTGCACGTGATGTTCGCGCATTGATAGTGATGTCGTTGCGGAGACATCTGTCGGTCTTCCATTGAAGTATAGGCTTGTTCGCTCTACAATTATTATTATGCCTAGGGGAGCCACCTTCATGTGGAAGAGGAAAAGGCTAAAAATTGACTTTTTACGCCACATGCTCTCACCATCTCTGTAAAAGGATTCAGAATGAACACATCAAGCATCACGTCCACTTTATGCAACTTTTAGGCATCCAATATATAGCATGGTGTCCTATGATCATTGGCCAGTATATTAATGAGTCTCCCTCACATGAACAAATGACTATGATCACTTTTACTTGCCCCGAAACAAAGAAATTCCATCTTGTACACCGATCATATCTTCTGCTTGCAGAGAATAGTTGTCAAAATAGCAAGTGTAGACGAATGGTTAATCTTAGTGCACTAAAAAGTTTCCTTGCAGCAAAGTACACAGGGAGTGTCACCAACAAAACACATGACAGACACGAAACAATCCAAATATTAAGCTTGCAATCATGAGTCATAGGGACAAAACACACACAACATGTGGCTAGTGTGGCAGTTTTCAAATTCTTCACTCTAAAATACACTTTCTATTTCTGAATTACAAACTTTTCGTCTGCTTCTACATCGAATATTTCATCAATGGTGGTTCCCTTAGGCAAAAAGAATGTGAAATTCTTGAACAGACAGAGGTTCTTATTAACAGCCACCAGTGCCTCAACCTCATCCCGCACTGAGAGACACTTTTGTTGCCTCAAAGTTGTCCTGGATCCTGTGAGGGGTCACTGACTTTGGAATCACCACAAACCCTCGATGGAGGAGGAACGAGATGCAGATCTGAGTAGGTAAATAGAGGAAAACGAATCATTTTCATTTTAACACTGACGTGGGAAGTCTCACCAATCTGCTAGCTATCCATTATAAAGCTTTTTCAGCCAGGCAGACAAACTATTGTACAGAGTAACAGATACACACACCAATTATAGACTCACAGTTTCAGTAGGAGAGGATAATGAAACTACCTAACCTGGGCAGGAGTTGCCCCCTTTTTGGAGGCTATTTCTTTGATGGTGGGATCGTCCATAACGACAGGGTCGGTGGCCTCAACTCCCCTCCGCGCAGGACTACCTAGCGGGGCATACGCTTCAATCAGAATACCTGTATGTGAGGAATGGAATATTTGCTTGATATAAAGTGAATACAACGAGTGCTAAATCATTACCTTTGCTGTCACAGTACTCTCTAAGTTTTTTCTGCTGGAAGTAAGGGTGGCACTCACCTGGTTGACAGCTGGTACAATCTTGGCAGTTCTTGAGGAGTGACTCTGTCTTTGTGATGTAAGTTGGAGATGCCTATGGCCCTAGTCAGACCTTTTCCCAACAGCACATCTTCCATCCCGCATTGAGTTTTACGCCGTTCAAAATGTGTTTCGCGTGGTTAATGATCAAGGCATGTATGCTAGAATAAATCTCTTTGATAATGTCCCCCTAGTCGCTGTCCACTGGACCAGTCATGCAAATTTAAAGCGTGTTTGCATACTAGCTATAGGTATCACTTCTTGACTATGTCATAAGAGTTCACAATGAAGGGAAAATATGAGATATAGCTTTCTTGATAACCTACAACGACAGATTACGTCTTTTACCTTCCATATTCCAGCAATTCGTGATTCGTCATAACCAAGTTTTTCCTCTTCTTGAAGATTTGACATGTCCAGATTGTGACGGAAGGCAAACGGAGAGTGGATGAGGTAGAGATCAAGGTAGTCCAGCTGCAGGTTCTTCAGAGTCAGTTGTATGGCTGGCAGCACATACTGCTCCTCCATGTCACCAGCCCTAGAAGATTATGGAACCATGATCACATGATGCTATATACTTGCAAGAGTTTAGATTGCTACACAACAAGGACAATGAATTTTACTACAGCTATTTCAGGCAACAATACTCAGTACCATTAGTAGCAAGAAAGGTCACTTCCATACTTCAAGTGTGGTCATGAATATGTTAATTTACACCCACCACAACTTTGAAGTAACAAAGAGGTTCTCTCTCTTGCACACACCCTCCTCGAAACACTTCTGGAGAGCCTCACCAATCTCAGCCTCGTTCTGGTAGATGTGGGCACAGTCGAGGTGTCTGTAGCCCACCTTGAGAGCTACTTTACACTGCTGCTCCCACTTCACCAGGCTTTGACTGCCATGTTCTAGAGAAGGCACATTGAATGACTTGAAGATGTGACATAGGCTACTGTCATCCATCTGTATATAGCTAACATCTGGAAATTAGCTAGCTCTTTCACAGATAATACCAGATAGTAGAGTCTGAGTGCATTTGCTCTTTCAAAGATAGCTATAATATTATATATAGCTGAGTGCATTTGCTCTTTCACAGATAGCTAGTTCTATACACAGGATAGTAGCTGAGTGCATTTGCCAGCTATTGACTTTTATGACACTCACCCAAGTCCGAACGCTGGGATACGAGTGCCGCCCAACATCTTGAGAGACTCCACCTAAACAAGCACGAGTATAACTGCAATAGCAAGATACAACGTTGCTTACAGCAGCCATGATGACCCTTTTCGCACTCATACACGCAGTGTTCGCTCGCTGCACCGGCTACGGCTCCGCCCTTTATACACAGCCACAACCGATGCGCGCATATCCTCAGTCGGTAATTGGTATGCCTACACGAAGTATGTTTGGAACATCATCTGACTTTGCAAAAGGTCACCTTGATGGAGTGTACAATCAGAGACAATTGCTAGTGGCACCTGTGGTTGTAGCTAGCCCTAGCCCCAGCCCTAGAGACAATTGATACCCACCTCAATATGAAAAGCACTAAAGTGCAACCCTCGGCGAATTGCGCATGCGCGATACTGCAAATTGATGGGCTGGGCCGGCTATTTGTATGCGTTTACTCCTGGTCTTCCGCTAGTAGCCCGCTGGAGAGTCAGACACGGGCTAGCTACAGTAGTAGATAGCATGCGGGAGTCGATACATGCCATTCGTTGTGACTTCCTGAGCCCCCAAGGTACACAGAGCGAGCGGATCAAGTGCGATTTGGCTTTTTCGCTTGCAGGAAAATCGCCTAATTTATTTTTCAGGCTCCCGTAGTTCTGAATCCGCTGGTATCGCTAATGGGCCGCCTCGTAGCCTGTAGTGCCAGAATAAGCGTCGACACACAGACAGACAGACTACCGTAACCCTCGTTGCGCATGCGCGCCGAGGGTTAATGACTATTTGGAGAGCCACCCAGCAACCAAACTCTAACTAATACTTAGCTAGAGCCAATTCCTCTGCTATTCCTACCACCCTCATGTGGCACTAGCAAGTTGAACTATCAATACTGGAAATTGCTCTTTAATATGGTAGCTAGGTTCTTGCTCAATAAACAATCACAATTATAATATTCACCACAGAATTATGTATTGACACTTTTGTATGGACATGACACAGTGATAAACTAAAACTAAAATCTTTAAAATGGATGTAGCTAAATCCACAGAGCTATAGCTGTCCCAGGATTCATTTTTGGATGACAAACTTCTCGTCAGCCTCCACATCAAAAGCTGTCTCGTTGTCTCTCCCTTTGGTAGAAAGGCTCCAACACTGTTTAGGAGGCGGTGATTCTTGTCAATGCCACCAACGGTTGTACCTCTTCCTCAGTGAGGGACACTCTTGTTGCCTCAAAGTTCTCTTGGATCCTGTCAGGGGTCACTGATTTTGGAATCACCACAAACCCTCGGTGGAGGAGGAAAGAGATGCAGGATGATCTATAGGAGAATTTTTAGTCAGAGTGACAACAGCTTCAACTTTGCTACTAGCTGTGTTAGGCTAATCATTGACTGTCACCTGTGCTGCTGTGGCTCCTTTTTTAGCCGCTATTTCTTTGATGGTTGGATCCTCCATAACGACCGGATCAGAAGCCTTAACTCCCCAAACGTGCGGGACTTCCAAGTGACGAATACGCTTACTTGATATGTAATAGTGAAGATCGAAATCTTATAACATGATCATAATCATTGAGCTTACCTTTTGTATCACAATACTCTCTAAGTTTCTTCTGCTGGAAGTAAGGGTGGCACTCCACCTGGTTGACAGCTGGGACAATCTTGGCAGTCTTGAGGAGTGACTCTGTCTTTGTGATAGTAAAGTTGGAGATGCCAATGGCCCTAGTCAGACCTTTACTCATTGCCTCTTCCATGCCCTGTATGAACAAATCACTGTTAGCATAATAGCTACAATATATAGCTACAGCTACGCTTTTTACCTCCCAGATTCCTGCCACGCGAGACTCATCGTAACCAAGCTTGTCGTCTTCTGCGATATTTGTCAAGTCTGTGACGGTGTGTGAGATGCGAATATGTGAGTGAACAAGAAAGAGGTGAAAGTAGTCAAGCTGGAGTTTATCAGAGACTGCTGCAAGGATGGCATGTACATATTGCTTCTCCATGTTACCACACACCTGAGCATCAAATAGAGAAATAGTGTCAACAAGCTATTAAAGTTTCAGCATACCAGAGTTTAGAAGTGACAAAACGTCCTCTCTCTGCACACACCCTCCTCGAAACACTTCTGCAGAGCGACTCCAATCTCAGCCTCATTCTGGTAAGCTAGGGAGTGTTGAGGTTCCTGTAGCCTGCCTTGAGAGCCACTTTCACAGCAGCTTCTATTCTCCTGGCTTGACTGCCCATGTTTTGGACGTACGAAAAATTGTTTATAATCTACACTGAGTAGTATAGCTAACTAAATTCTATAGCACAAGACCATTGCCTTACCTAATTCCAAAGGCAGGAATATATGTTCTGCTTAACATCTTTATTCTACTTTCCTTTAAAATTGCTACATTTATATCACCTTGGCCATGGCTGGCTATGAACTTGAGAGTCCGTGTGCGTAGTTCTTTTGCTTTTGAACTATAGCACGTCGGTCCAGAAGTGAAAGCTTCATGACAGTCGAACTCCTGACTGCAAGAATAATATTTGCCTAAGTCACGCTTCCCCACGAGGTCATGCCTCGAGGCGTGACTACGCGCGTAGATGCACGCTTGCTCGCGATCAGCGTGGGCGCGGAAAATTGAGCCTCCTGTGCTGCTTTCTAGGCTGCAAAACCCCTACTGCCAACCAACACTAGTCAATGTCTGAACTATAGCTGGCACACGAAATGTTGTAAGCCCCCCACTCCCCACTCGCTGAAAGCGGTTTTCTGCGCTCACATAGATAGAAGTTTTCCTTATTTTTGACCGATATTTGCACTAAAGCGCAGGAGATTTCCACCCCTGACTCGTGCTCGGCGGCGGCGCAGTACCATGAACGCCTGGGGTAGCTAGCTAACGGTGACATGCCATATGATACCGATCATCGAGTTCCCTCTACTTTTAGCAGCTTTCTTCTTTCAAGCTTGGTGATCTTCGACGAACAGGGTAAATTAGCTCCGCAAGACTCGCTTCGCGAAAGATTCTCTTTTGCTTCTGGTCTTGCTATCGCGGGGCGGCACTTTTCACTATGAGTGCAGGCCCTTAAATATTAACTAGGAATGCGCACGCGCAAATTTTGCCTCGTGCCTGCCAGCCTAGCCAATGCCCGACTGAGGCCGCTCGTGCGCGCGCTCTACTGACTGCGTGCGCGCGAAGCCATACTTCCTACGAATCTGCGCGCACGGCGGAAGCTAGACTTCCTACGAATGACGGAAGTTACACTTCCTTTTGGTGACTAATTGACATTCCTAACGCGCTCGGCAATAAAATCCCCTTATATACAAGGATAACATATAAAATCTGTGTAAAGCAATGATGATAGCCAATAGTTAGCTACATTCAACAACCACCTACGTGTAACCCACTATAGCTGGAAAACGAAAATGGGCGCGGCCAGCGGTGCATATGTAGCTACCTCAAATCACACCTCGTTCAAACTACTATAGGTAGGCCCCCTTTCTAGGCTACGTTTATTTGGTTCATGCCACCCCTCTAAGTTCCACAATACTCATGGCACTGCTTGGCTAAGGATCATAAAAGGAGTGTGGTTTCCTACAAACTACGTATAGCTACACATTCTGCGTAAGCTTGTTTTGATGGCGGGTTTTGTAGCTAGCCTCGGTTGTAGCCACTTACATACAAGGCATTGAACCTAGAGTAATGTTGTCTCAGTCCAGCTGGCTCCATTGCACAGGCTGCAGTTTTATCTGTTAGCTAAAGCTGCAGGGAGAGCTCTACGTAGCTAGCTATGTTTTCAGCAGTGTTCATTGTTTTGCTGCTGATAGGACGAGGTTCTTCTCAATGTTTTACAAATTCCGTTTGTACGGGGACTGCTATTGCTGCAACAGATCAAAAAGGCTGCTGTGTGGGAACTGACAATGGTCTTTCTTACAATGATGGGACCACCTGCAATCTGTGCATAGGTATTACACAGTTATTGGAGGAGATAATATTATAATTATTTTATTATATCCTGCAGTACATGGTTTTATTCGGGTTGCACATAGTGTTTCAGAGGGTGACCGACTGGATACTAGTTTTCAACTCAATGTGAAGGGAACAACACAGTTTGGTGGTTTTGAGGTCCCTGGTCTCATTACAGCTACTCCAGATGGCACTGCAAGTAAGGCTTTGTGCTCTTTATCTAGGAAGGCAGCATCTCGTTATTTTGCCTTCTTTTGATGAAGGTGGTTCGGACTTTGAAAGGCTGCAGCCTATTCGTGTCACTAACAGCGCAGAAATTCGTCTGTTCGCTCCCAAAAGATGCTATTAGTCTTGAGTATGACGATCGAGTTTTGCTGAGGTTCATTCCTGACAATCCTGATTTCATTCCTGCTCTGGAGGCTAATGGAGAGTATGTCAGAGACAGAGCCACAGTACACATAAACGATAGTGATGGTAAGCGCTGTTAATTTTGTTTCACTTTTAGCTTTAGGCATGCAGATCTTGAATCACACAATCGATTTTACGTAGCTGGTGCGACGAACAGAAACTCATTTATATGACACGCAAGTGACTAGTGGGCCGTCGGGGAGTGGTGGCGAGCGCAGTAGTAGCTAATTGGAGAGGGAACTAGCCCATCTAGTCCAGCACTTAAGTGTAAACCCAACCCTCGGCGAACTGCGCATGCGCGATACATGGCTGGTCTATGACGGTATGGCGTTTACCACTCGTGGTCCTCCCTCTATATAGTACGGAGCGCGGAGAGTCTGACTACGGTCGTAGATAGGTCGTGAGCCTCCATGTACACAAAGCGATGCAGATCAGGTGTCGCAATGTGATTATGCAATTGGCTGGGTGCTTGTTTTCACGGCATATCTCTCCAACGCACTCGTTACAGGAAAAACTGGCCCTTTTAGTTTTCAGCTCGCGTAGTTCTGAAGCGCTGGTATCGCTAATTTGGCCGAGATAGTGTAATGCGCTTTTTCTTTGCTTTTTCTTTTATTCTTCTGTTGTTTTTTGTTGTTGTTTGTTTGTTGTTTGTATTATTTTTTGCTTGTCTCGTTGTAAGCTTCGTCTACTTTTTTGGCTTGTGGTAAATCACAACTTGTGATTAGTGGGCTAATTGGCCGCTTCGTATCCCTGTAGTGCCATAATAAGCGTCGACACACACAGACTAGACAGACAACCACTACTGTAACCCTCTGCTGCGCTGCGCGCCGCGGGTAATTGCAACGGCCGGACTGCGCTACTCAAACATCCACGTCAAAATCTCGCATATCGCGCTTCCCCTCTCCGCCTCTGCCCCGCCTCGCGTGTGCACTTCCTCACGTGCATTCCTATAGGTCACAAGTGGAAAAATCCATTCTTTATTAAAATGAGGGGGATGTAAGGATGTGGCTCAAAGCAAGAACAAGATGTCATTTCCAGCTTGCTAAGACACACAATCACAGGACACGATATATCCTATATCTTGTTGATGCGTATTCCCTCTTCTTCTCTGCGTCGCGAGCGTCGGGCAAGCGGGATTGGCTAGAGCCTAGAGAAACAGTCAACAAAAAGCAACAACTTGATCTGCGACGAAACTATGGTTGCCGAGCGCCAGTCACTTAGCTAGCCTGTTGTCCGCGAAGTGGTATACGGCATGTAACGACACTTGTGTTCACACGCAGGTTCTATATACGGCCTACGAGTCACACAAACACACTAGCGCTCACGTGCCGTTGTTTACTAGCCATTCCCCGGAGCCTCGTTTGAGGCAAGCTTACACTAAGAGCCGTACAAAAAACGTCCGGAGTAGACAAAAGAAAGAGAGAAAAAGATACAAGAAAAAAGAAAAGAATCTCCTCGACAGTTGCGTGTGCTACGACGGCATGTCGGAAGCTTTCATTTTCTAAGCTACAAGTCGATGTGAGGCCACACATGCCGCACTTTGTACAGTTCTGCAGTTATTCTTTGAGGACTGCGACTACCGATTACAGAGGGATCTCGTGTGTCAGGCCTCTTCGTGTGCACTACTACGGACCAGTTCAAAACCCATTTACACTCATAATGAGAACAATGTCAGTGAGCAGTGCAGAAAGTATCAGTGTGGGGAACTTCATTGGCTCTGACACAATTTCAAATTCTTATAGAGCTACAGCAAGTATGTAGCAGTAATTTATGCATTTGTAATTGAAAATTAAGGGCATCTTTCACGTGCAGTATTAACGGTCATTGTTTTATTTTCAGCTGCTGATTTTACCGTGTCCACTAGAACTATTACTGTTCCTGCCAATCCAAACATTGGGACTCAAACAGTTTTTCTTCCTGAATTCTTTCGTGTTATTGATGACAATATCAATGAGATGGACGAGATCTTCGTTCTTGCTGTTGAGATTGGAGCAGATGTTTCAATTGGATCGGTCTGTTTTCTGTGGCTGCATAAGGACTGAATGCTTTGGTCGTCATGGAGCTACAGAATCATATCAAAGACAATGACCGTAGCATTATTATTAGCAAGTAAAGTCTGCCTGTTAGTTATCCATTAATGGTGCCATCCATACTGTAATGTCATTTGCCAGCATTATTTTCGATTCTGACTTTTAGCTATGATCATTGGATTTACTGAGCGGAGCAGGACTGTCTCAGAGAGTGGTGCTACACCTGGAGCTTTCTCTTACCCCATTGAAATAGAAGTGGCTTTCCCAAGAGTTTTCTGAGGTTCACGGAATTACAATCCAGCGGCAGCAATGAGCACTGCTCTCAACTGCAGTGTAGGACCACTGAGAGGAGAAATACTTTTCTCTGATGCTCAGTTTGGTTACCGAGATCGCTCTCGTGATCCATTGGAAGACCAAGTTTACCTCGATCCAGGCCAAACCACACTTCAACGAGTATATCCTTCGATTGTTGAGGACTTTCGAATTGAGCCAGAAGAATGTTTTACACTGCAATTATATTTCTATGAAACACCTGGGGCAAGAGCGCCACTAGTGACGTACTGCTGGTATAGTGTCAACTAATTTCTCTGTGAACATACTGTCTGCAGTGAAGATGTATGATGATGGCGATTTTTTGCGGTCACAGAGGATTTTTATTAGCAGTAACATGCGTGCGCGTTCGACAGAAAAGAACCTTTACTGGTTTTGATTTGTGTGCAAACGGAAAGCAAGGGGAGGTAGCACTATGGATGATTGGGTAGCATGCGCTCGTGAAGGTATAATTGGTGTGTCCAAACAACTCGAAGCAAAGAGACCGCGGCGTCGCCAGCTCACGCAAACGTCCATCGCACGGATATGCGAGCACTGATGCCTAGAAACACTGCTAGACATCCGGGTGTCAGTGGTTGATCGTTCCAGCTCAGTCTACATTCCTGCAGGAGCTGCTCTGCAAGTAAGATCGCTTTTCCTACAGCGTATACTATGAGTCTTGTGATCCTTCTGAATTATGTCTCCAGTCTCCAGATCTCCCACTTCTTGGCTTTTCTTCCCATGGCTCAGGCACAGATCAGATTGGCACACCAAATACTTGGATTAACTAGCTCTCGAGATCATCTATAAGTGAACTGAGCCGCATCTGTCTGTTACAACCATGACAATAGTGATGATGCAAAATTTTTGGTAGAGGGATCAGAGTATTTTGGTCTCACACTGAGTGTACCTGAGGCTTCAGTCTTTGACTCAAGTTCGACAATGTAGTGACCAAGCAGCTAATGTTTGGTCCTCGATAATGATGGTTAGTTATTCGGGTGTGTATATAATCCGTTTAATTATAATAGACATGCATTCTAGAGCAGGAAGCGATCTGTAGTGGGTGGGTCAGTACTGGCTTTACTCACATCATCAAGCCAAAGTCAGTCAATCATGAGACTAAATACCAGGCAACACACTCTGGCTACGACTCGCGCAAGTACCGGGATCCTCTCAGTGCTACCATGGCAGAGCTGCACTGGGAGTGCATTACAGCGGTCAGTGCAGAGCTGCTGTGTGGGAATCAGGGACAGATGATGGACTATCATTTTCTAATGGTGCAGCTGTACGGCTTGTGTAGGTGGCATTAAATCATATCTACGAAAATGCATATTAATTCGCAGTTATTCTAGTTCATGGATTTTCAACTGCACGCGTCAAGTGTATGATGAGGTCGGAGAGTAGACAGTTTCATTCCAGATGAATGTGAAAGGAGCACCAGTTGGATCTGGCTCTTGTCGTGTCAGAATATGCAGCAGCAGCTCATGCACTGCTAGTAAGTTTTATTGCAGTATAGCTACTCTTTAGCGGTTACTTGTACTTGTTATAGGTTCTTCTGACTTTCAACAATTCGTTTCCAGCTACAACTAACAAACTCAGGAGTTATAAGTATTGCTGCTCTTGATGACTTCACTACACTGGAATATGAGGACAGAGTACGACTTACATTCACCCCTTCAACGACGGAGGCGAAGGGGTGTGAGAAAGGCAACACTCGCCACCCTCTCTGGTTCCTGGTCTTGAAAATGTTGGAGAGTACATCAGAGACTCACTTCCATTGTCAATATTATGACACTGACAGTAAGAATTCTACAACTTTTTTAAACCAAAAATATCATGCACTCTAATCTACAATCCCTTTCAGAGCGGCAGATAATTTTGATGTTGAAGGTTGTGATTACTCACAGATGAAGAAGCTCCACTCGCTGGACCACCAATCATACTTCAGTAACAACCAGAACCCATTCACTGTCACTCTGACACATCCTCTGTTGATACAGTGGAAGTCACTGGGACTTGGTGTTTTTCCTTACACCTTCCCTATTCTTCCAGCTCCGGGCAACTCAGTTTGTGGCTCATATTTATCTCGTTAAGAAGCTTTTTAACTAAATATACATTTAACAGAGCGAAGAACGTCAGCATGTACAAGTATAAACAGTAGTGAAACCTATAATTATATCTCCTTTAGCTCTATTTTTCCTTGATCAGAAAAATAAAACAAGTTTGCACATTGTTCAGAGTCTACTATAAAGATGTGTGGTAGCTAGTGCATGTAGCTAAGGATCCCTCGGTTTCCATCCACACCTCCGTTGATTTCCAATGCAGACTGCATGAAATCTAAAATTTGACATTCTACTACAAGTGTCCCACTAACTAGTTATTACTGATTAAAATTTGTTTGTAGCCTATAACCGTTCTTCTGTGCTTGCATGAGTTTCCTTGTCCTTTTCCTAATTTGCTTCATCAATGTTTTTTTAAACTGTTTTAACCTTGTTTCACTACAGTTACAGATTTCTCTGATCGTCAAATGTCAATTACAATTCCTGCCAACAGTCAAACATATGAAATCCCACAGTTTTTTACAATTGTTGACGACAATATTGATGAAGATTCAACAGAGCTTGCAATAGTTCAGAGATAGGCCTCTGCCTTCCTGATGAGTCAGTGCTTCCAGATAGCAGCGCAAGATCATAAGTTGTCATGGCGTCGAGAGCTGTTGAAATAACGATAACTGATAATGATCGTGAGTTTGTAGCTAGTCTCTAGTGTCTGTAGAAATACTTATTGTGTTCGCCTTTTAGCCATGATCATTGGATTTACTACAAGAGTTCGGACTGTATCAGAAGGTCAGGTACCTAGGGTGGACTTATTCCAGCTTGAAATAAATGTAACCAGTGCAAGGACTGCTGAGAGGAGGCATCCAATGGTATTCCGTCTTCAGCAATCCATATCAAATGCCACAGTAGAGACACTTATAGCGTCTAGCCCAGTCTTTGATGCCACATTTGGTCTCAGAGAAAACCCTGATGTCCCCATTGAGGAGATAAGGAAACTAGACCCAGGATCACGGACAATAACACCAACACTGCTAACAGCTATTAGAAATGACTTGATTCCTGAGGACACAGATGTTTTTACTATACGTCTCTTTTTCCCCCCTGTTGGATGTTCCTGGTCCGTCGTGATCTGTTACTTGCAATGAGATGGAGTAGGTGCAGACGATTACTTCTGTGAACACTCATCTGCATGAAGATGATGATGGTGAGTTCTTTTGCAATGTCTATAGCAATATACCTGTTACAAAGTTTATGATATGTTGAATCTTGAATTAATCAATGTTAGGGCATTTGAAGTTGCATTTTGAAGACAACGTACACAGTTTATGAGGAAGTGTATCCTCATTGAGTGTGTGTGTCAATGCACACACCAGAAACTGAATTCTTGATGAAACTGTCAATGTGTTTTGTCCCCCATTGATTACCGCCAGTTTCAGTCTACATCGCTGCTGGTGCCCCTTTGGCTAGTAAGGCGCTGCAGTTAGAAGCATCTGTGTTTATATTACTTCTTGTTTTTCTCCATGTCCAATCCACCCGATTTTCTATAGATATCCAATCGAAACACTGACATCCCCAGCAAACTGCGCTGTCAACGCATTGATGACATGGCTGATTGTGAATTAAACATATTATCTGCTCAGCAGACAATATACGATGACACACTCGTGGAACCAAATGAATATCTTGGCCTATCGCTTGGAGTGAAAGATAATCAAGATACAACAATAATAACACTGGTGAAACCAATATATGGCGAGGCATCAATCCTTATCCTGGACAATGATGGTAAGAACTGACCATCAACTTTAGTAAAGTATGATTACAGTACATTTGTATCAACTGTAATTTCTCATATCATTCTGAGACATGACATTTCTTCTTGGTTTTGGGCGCCACTGTTTACACAACAAGTGTGGGTCCGATGGTGGATAGTCAGGATGCGTTGTACAAAACCCCTCTCCTGAGGAACACCGCGACCAACTTCGCTGTGTCTCAGTCAGTACCACAGATGACACTGCAGGTATGTAGCTAATGTCCTTTAACCATGCTTTGAATCCCAACCTCAATTCCACAGTCTCTCCTGATGACTATGTGGCCATTAGTAGTCAGATAATACAGTTCAATGTTGGAGATACTAGTCACACCCTCACACTCTCTATTGCCAACGATGGGATGTGTGAGACTCAGACCGAAGCTTCTTTGTCAGATTTCTCTTGTTAGTAGTACTGGATCCATCACAATCTCTCCCTCTCAAGGCAGAGTCTTTATCCATCAACCTGAGTGTGGTGAGTATACTACTGTGGTCTTTTATTTGCAGCTTCTGAGTGTTGATGCGACTATTTTCCATGCTTATTGTTGTGCCCTTTAAGGAATGGCACAGGTGATCTTTACTGATCTGCAAATATTTACCTAAAATATCCTTGCCTCGTGATTTACATGATTGAATTAGACCCCGCGGATTGAAGGAGTGTCATAGTCTATATAGCTACTAGTGGTATATATGTGTAGTTGACACACTTGAAGTGCAGCTATAATACTCACTGAAATAACTGTTGCGTGTGCAGAAGAAACTTATTTTTGCTAGACAATGGTACCGGGTAGTACTTGGTGGGTTTTTTTATTTATCGAGAGGAAAAAATGATGTCCTGACTATTGAACAACTTTCCTCTTCTTATGGCATTTGCATGCCTTTGAAGTTCATAATTTCACCATTATTTTAATAGCAATAGTTGTTGGATTGGATTCCACTATTTACACAATAAGTGAGAGCCAGGGAATGGTAGAAGTCAGCACTTTTGTACAAATTCCCTCCGCTGGGGGAGCACCACGACCTTTTTCTCTCTCAGTCAGTACCGAAGATAATACTGCAGGTATATACACTAATTTATATTTTCCAACCCAACCACACCTAACAACATGCTTGTATATAGGATCTCCGGCTGACTTTGAAGCTTTGAGAAAGTCATATTATTCAATTCAATACTGGAGATACTGTCACACTTCACCCTCACTATTGCAAATGATGGATATGTGAGGTTCCAAATGAAACTTCATTGTAAACATTACTGTGGTTGGTGGCATCCAACCTATCTCATTATTACGCATCGAGCACATGTGATAATCAATGATATGAATGAACCAGAGTGTGGTGAGTGCATTTGTATTAGCTAATACCACAGCAAAGATTTGTTTACTGATTCCAACAGTTCCAACCGTATCTTTTTCTTCGGAGACATATGTCGCAGCCGAGAGTGCAGGATCAGTTGAAGTGTGTGTAATTCTAAACATTCCTTACAGTTTTGCTCTAGAGTTCACAATTATGCTAGATATTGAAGTGCGACAGCTGGTATGTTTAGACATCATGTTACTACAATATTACATGCATACTTCATACTATTAGGTGTGGATTTTGTCAGTGGGAAATGGAAAACATACATACTCCCTGGATCTACAGACCGCTGCATTAACATCACCATTTTGAATGATAACATTGCGTTGGAAGAAAAAGAAAATTTTGCAGTGGAAATAGTGATGGCTTCTGTGCCAAGCATAACATCAACTGCTGAAATTATCATTACTGATAGTAACGGTGGGTCTCTTAACACATTAACCAAACATTGGTGCTCTAATAATGATATTTGTCTCTTAGTTGCTACTGTCTCACTTGAAGAGACACTGTACCGAGTGACTGAAGCAGGAGGAAGTGTCCAAGTGTGTGTTAGAGTCGGAAGTCCCAGCAGTGGATGTCCTATTGCTTCCGCCTTTGTTGTCAGTCTCTATACTAATGATGATGATGCAGGTAGGTTTTATCGTTATTCAGCGTGACATTCACTACTTTTCAGTTTGAAAATTGTGATAAATTGTGTATAATAACCAACAACAAATCTGCAGGAAATGGTCATATACCGCTTTTTCTTGCAATACAAAATGTGCCTGCACACAAAAAAATTCAAGTGGCAGCTAGACTGAAAAATCATTACTATAATTATAATAACTAGAGACATGGGGGACAGTAGCTATACCTACTCTATACATGTTACTACCCCACTTTAGATTCTGTAACTGATTACTCTGCCGTCTTGGCCACTTTAAGTTTTCAACCTTGTTTCACATTGCAATGTGTCACCATTGCAATCACTGATGACTCCATACCTGAACCTGATGAGTCCTTCTCGCTCATTCTGGAGAGATCACCTGGTCTTGACAGCAGGATCACTCTAGCTTCCTCCACTGGCAGTGTTCTAATACTCAATGATGATGGTATTGTTGTAGTATACCACATTGTTACTTCAAACAGCTATAATATTATAAATGTGCTCTTTTGCTCCAGATTTCTTGTGTACTGCTAGTGGTGTTCCTGAAGTTACAGTGATTGTCTGCACTGGTAATCAACCTGGGTCTTCTTTGCAGTGTTCTTTTAATGGAGGACAGCTTCACTCGTGTACGTTATAATAGGGGGCAGTGTGTTGTTCAGATAAGTGTGGGTTAATTGTGTATAATACAGGCAATGCACCAATGGTACTGACTAGGATAGTCAGTCCTCCTGGTAATCAATCTGTGAGGATTGTAAGCAGCACTGGAGAAGAAAGTACTGTATCATACAGCATCACTACTGCTGATCCAGTTACCGGTAAGGATGACTTTGTATTATACTCAATGGATGGTTAACGAAACTCAGTGGTTCTATATAACCTATTTCAGCATTCTTACCACCCTTGGAGATCATTCTAAACGGTGGTTCACCTCTTGTGACTGAGAGCTCTGTGGAGGCAGTGTTTGTAACCACCAGACCAGTGACTGGAGTGAGGTGCTTCCTCAGATATGACAACAAAAATGACTACAAAGACTGTAAGGATAAGTTGTTCATAACACGTACTTCCATTTTTATGCATGTCCTTAGGTTCTTCTGGCAGAGTGTCCTTTACTGACCTGAGCCCTGGAGAGTATGTTCTGAAGATCTATGCCTATAATCAACAAAGTGACAGTGCCACTGCTAAGATAGTGGTCACAATCTAACTGAAGTGTAGTGAACCTAGACTAGTGTAGTGAACCTAGACTATAGTGGAAACTGTAGGCTTGTAGTTATAACTATTCCTAACGTAAATGTGTGTTTATAACTGCCGGCTGAAGTGGCAGGGGCGCTGGTGTGTATGGGGATTACTGGGTTAGCAGGGTGTTTTTAGGTTCAAGGACTGCAGTACATATTGCTTCTACATGTTACCAGACCTGAGTATCAAATAGAGAAAATAACATCGAGAAGTTGATATAAAGTTTCAGCATACCAGAGTTTAGAAGTGACAAAACACTCTCTTGCACACACCCTCCTCGAAACTCTTCTGGAGAGCGACTCCAATCTCTGCCTCATTCTGGTAAGCTTGGGCAGTGTCGATGTGCCTATAGCCTGCCTTGAGAGCCACTTCCACAGCAGCTTCTACTTCTCCTGGCTTTGACTCCCATGTTCTGACGTACGAAAAAAGTTTTAATCTACACTGAGTGGTTCTTACTATACAAGTGGAAAAATCATTTCTTCAAAATGAAAGGGGGATATAGGGATGGCTTGAAGCACCAAAAAGGAAGAAACAAGGGGTCATTACACAGCAAAGATGCACAAAGCTACATGACACCATCCCTATATCTTTGTCTCATATTAAACTTTACTTCAAGGAACTGTTGCAGAGTGGAAATGATGGAGATGTCAAGCACGGTTGGACGACCTCTTTCCCAATTAGGGAGGAAAATGTCAGCAGGGCGAGATTGGTTGTGAACAATAACACAAAGATATAGGGATGGTGTTATGTAGCTTGTACATCTTTGCTGTGTAATGACCTCTTGTTTCTTCATGTTTGGTGCTTCAAGCCATCCTTATATCCCCCTTTCATTTTGAAGAAATGATTTTCCCACTTGTTTCCACTATTTTTCACGCCTTATAACAACACTGCATTTTCAGTCACTCTGATGTTCATGGGTGTTGTAGAGATAATTGTTGAAAGCAGAAGCTAATATGCTGCTCCTACCTGAAGCAGGGTGTATGCGTAGTGTCTCCAACAAGGATGCAATTAGATTGTGGCACATATGGTGGGGTGGTTTCATAGGCAGGCTTCAGTAATCAGACTATAATGATAGGGGGACAAAGAATGAAGGCGCTGTGCAAGGACCGCGTATAGCTAACACGGCGCACACTGCGAGTTGCTCCTCGTGCAAATCAACAGCAACGCAAGAGAGCCAGTTAAAAATGTGTATACTGACTTACAGAAGGCACTGGAGGATAAGAATTCCTCTGCAGGCTTCCTGGCTTAGTCTGGTTCACGCACGCTATAGTAATGCGCGCGCACCGAGCATTGGGGAAACGCCCTCCTCGGCGCGGCGCATGCGGCTCACTGATGCTGAGTTAGCAGCAAATGGCGTTGTTCAGTGACTATTGTGGAAGAGCTCAATGATCTACCGTAGTGACTTGCGGCAAGAAACAAGCGATCGCTTGATATGCGTGCACACCTCCGGAAAATTTGGAGACGTTCTGTGGAAAAATCAACGCTTCAACTGCTTCCGGTAAGGAGCTAGCGGGTCTGAAGAAGAAGAAGAAGAAGATGAAGAATATGATGATGATGACACGAAAATCGCGAAATCGCGTAAGAGCGAATTTTCTGGTGGGGAACTGAGGGCACGTAGAAGTCTTGGGGCATATGTATAGCTAGGTATTGGCCTCTAGACTATTGCTAGTGATTTTGAAGCCATGGTGAGTCATTTTCGCTGAGTTTTGAGGCGTTTTGTACGCGGATCACGTGAGATTTCACTCGTGCCATCCCTATATAGACCGTCTACCGACGCTCTGGTACAAGAGCTAACTAAATTCTATAGCACAAGACAACTTTAGACAATTTGCTTACTCAATTCCAAAGGCAGAAATCTATAATATAGACAATCAAAATTGCTGCTTTTCATGCCATTTCTCACCTTGGCCATGGCTGGCTATGAAATTTCGGAATTAGAGATTTTCCGTGTGCGTAGTACTTTTGAACTAAGCACGTCTGTCCAGAATTTTCATGCGCGAACTCCTGACTGCAAAAATAATATTTGCCTAAGTCACGCTCCGACTAGGTCATGCCTTGAGGCGTGACAGGGCAGTACGCGCGTAGATGCGCGCTTGCTCGCGATCAGCGTGGGCGCAGAAAATTCAGCATCCTGTTCCTATCTGAGATGCCCCCCTTCTAGGCTACGCTGTTTTGCTTCCTTCTATGCATGCTACCACTCTAAGATCCACAATACTCATGGCAGTGCTTGGCTAATGAAAATCTAGGATCATAAAAGGAGTGTGGTTTCCTAGAAACTACACCTGCTGCGTAAGCATGCTTTGATGGCGGGTTGTAGCCACTTACATACAAGGCATTGAACAGAGTAATGTTGTCTCAGTCCAGCTGGCTCCATTGCACAGGCTGCAGTTTTATCTGTTAGCTAAAGCTGCAGGGAGAGCTCTACGTAGCTAGCTATGTTTTCAGCAGTGTTCATTGTTTTGCTGCTGATAGGACGAGGTTCTTCTCAATGTTTTACAATTCCGTTTGTACGGGGACTGCTATTGCTGCAACAGATCAAAAAGGCTGCTGTGTGGGAACTGACAATGGTCTTTCTTACAATGATGGGACCACCTGCAATCTGTGCATAGGTATTACACAGTTATTGGAGGAGATATTGTAATTATAACATTTATTAATCCTGCAGTACATGGTTTTCTTCGGGTTGCATATAGTGTTTCAGAGGGTGGCCGACTGGATACTAGTTTTCAACTCAATGTGAAGGGAACAACACAGTTTGGTGGTCTTGTTGTCGCTGGCCTCATTACAGCTACTGCAGATGGCACTGCTAGTAAGACTTTGTGCTCATTTGTCTAGGAAGGCAAAACAACGTTATATTTTGTTTTGTTTGAAGGTAATTCGGACTTTGAAAGGCTGCAGCCTATCCGTGTCACTAACAATGCAGAAATTCGTCTGTTCGCTGCCGAAGATGCAATTAGTCATGAGTATGACGATCGAGTTTTGCTGAGCTTCATTCCTGACAATCTTGGTCTTATCACTGGTCTGCTGCAAGCCTTCGGAGAGTATATCAGAGACACAGCCACAGTAAACATAAACGACAATGATAGTAAGCGCTGTTCATTATGTTTAGCTCTTAGCTTTAGGCATGCAGCTCTCGGTTCACAATGCCGGAGCTTTGTTATTGTAGTTGGTGCGACAAACAGCCTCATGATTGCACGCAGGTGAGGAAGTGATCTGCCTCGCGTGCTGCTGAGGCGCCCAACAACGCCAATGCGTGAGTGTCGCGCTACCGTCCACGAAGTTGCTGCGATTGATGTAGGCGCATGCGCAAAGCTAGGGACCGGACACGCGCACCTACGGAAGATTGTACCAGCGGTGCACACCAAACGACGCGCATTCCCATATAGGACATGGTTCTAGGGCGGGGAGTGCGCGACACTGACAGTTGCCGTACCACTTTGCACAGCTCTCCAGTTATTCTTTGAGGACTGTGACTACAGAGTTACAGAGGGATCTCGTTTGTCAAGGCCTCTTCGTGTGCACTACTATGGACCAGTTCAAAACCCATTTACACTCATACTGAGAACCATGTCAGTGAGCAGTGCAGAAAGTATTGGTGTGGGAAACTTCATTGGCTCTGACACAATTTCAAATTCTTCTAGAGCTACAGCAAGTATGTAACAGTAATTTCGCATTTGCAATTGAAAATTAAGTGCATCTTTCACGTACAGTATTAACAGTCATTGTTTTATTTTCAGCTGCTGATTTTACCATGTCCACTAGAACTGTTACTGTTCCCGCCAGTCCAAACATTGGGACTCAAACATTTCAATTTCCTGAATTCTTTCGTGTTATTGATGACAATATCAATGAGATGGACCAGATCTTCGTTCTTGCTGTTGAGATTGGACCAGATGTTTCAATTGGATCGGGCTGTTTTCTGTTGGCTGCAGAAAGGACAGAATGTTTTGGTCGTCATGGAGCTACAAGAATCATTATCAAAGACAATGACCGTAAGCATTATTCGTTATCCAGTAATAGTGCTTTCCACACTGTAATACCATTCCTATAAACTAATGATTCTCCATGTGTCTTAATTAAAGTACTGTTTACATACTGATTATTTTAGCTATGATCGTTGGATTTACTGAGAGGAGCAGGACTGTTTCTGAGAGTGCTGTTGCACCTGGAGATTCCCAGTACCGCCTTGACCTAGAATTGGCTAGCTTGAGAGTTTCAGAGAGGGGGTACACAATTATAATCCGGACAATGAGCGGCACTCAACTGCAGTTGTAGAATCGTTGGTGCTTGGAGAAAATACTTTCTCTGATGCTCTGTTTGGTGTCCGAGGTCACTCTCATGATCAATTAGAAGACCAAGTTTTGCTCGAACCAGGCCAAACCACACTTCAACGAGTATCTGCTTCGATTATTCAGGACTTCCGAATTGAGCCAGAAGAATGCTTTACACTGCAATTATATTTCTCTGAAACACCTGATGCAAGAGAGCCACTAGTGACATGTAATGCTGGTAATAGTTCAACTAATTTCTTCTGTGAACATACCATCTGCATTGAAGATGACGATGGTAAATATAATTTTCGCTGTCACAATGTTTTAGTTGTCAAGATGCAATCTTACAGAACCATTTGTGGTTGGATTTGTGCAAACAACATACACTGTTCTGGAGAATGCAGGCTCAGTGGAGGTCTGTGTCCAACTCACCCGTCCTCTGACTGATATCCTTGATGAAACTGTGCGAGTGTCAGTGGTTGATTATTCCAGCTCAGTCTACATTCCTGCAGGAGCTGCTCTTGCAAGTAAGACAGCTGTCCTATATACTAATCTCATAGAGGTGTATTATACTATGAGTCTTGTGATCCTTCTGAATTAATGTCTCCAGCTCCAGATTCTCCCAACTTTCTTAGCTTTTATTTCCATGGCTCGAGGCACAGATTATGCACAGCAAACGCTAGTGATTAACACTATCGATGATCGCCTTATAAGTGAACTAAGCAGAATAGTCTGTTACAACCAGACAATATATGATGATGCATTGGTAGAGGGATCAGAGTATTTTGGTCTCACACTGAGTGTATCAGAGGCGT